CTTGGGTCATGAGGATAAAAACCTTCTTCAATGATTCTCCAAAGGTTAGTGTTCACATGTTTTAAATGACGCTTAAAGCGATAGACCCAAGAATCAAAATCTTCATGTTTCTCATATTTAGGTGGAGGACCGGCATGATTCAAATGAGTGGAGGGGATAGGCCCTCCATAAACCGGGGGTTCCACATGGGCAAAGATGCCAGTACCATTTCTACCACTAATAGAAGGACTCTTATCAATGTTAGCTTCCCCCTTGTCGGAGGGAGCATCCGTCACCTTGTTGGTGGGATCACCCACTTTCATCGGCGAGGTAGATTGTTTAAGTCCTTCTAGGAATTCCTTAAACATGTCCTTGACCTCGGTCGTCATGGAGGTTTTGAATGTTTCCAAAGCCACATTGAATTCCTCATGTGAGATCGAGTTACCCCCATCTCCCGTAGATGAGATCGGATTCGCACCGGAGTGCTCTCCCACCTCATCTACGACATCAACCATACTCTTTGGACGGTAAAGTCCTTAAAAAGAGACGAGGCTCTGATACCAATTGAAAGGATCGATATGGTTGACTAGAGGGGGGTTGAATAGGCAACTAACAATTTTTAAGCTTTTCTTTACCAAATTAAACTTTGCAACAAAATAGGTTGTCTAGATGTGCAACTAGGTGAGCAACCTATATGATGCAATAACAACTAGCACACAAACAAGCAAAGGATGTAAAACAAGTAGGCTTGCAAAAGTAAAGGCACGAAATAACCAAGAGTGGAGCCGGTGGAGACGAGGATGTGTTACCGGAGTTCCATCCTTTTAAGAGGAAGTATGTCTCCGTTAGAGCGGTGTGGAGGCACAATGCTCCCCAAGAAGCCACTAGGGCCACCGTATTCTCCTCACGCCCTCACACGATGCGAGATGCCGTGATTCCACTATTGGTGCCCTTGAAGGCGGACCGAACCTTTACAAACAAGGTTGGGGCAATCTCCACAACAATCGGAGGCTCCCAACAACAACAACACCAGGAAGCTTCACCACAATGGAGTATGGCTTCGAGGTGACCTCAACCGTCTAGGGTGCTCAACACCCAAGAGTAACAAGATCCGCAAGGGATAAGTGGGGGGAATCAAATATCCTGTGGTGGAAGTGTAGATCGGGCCCTTGTCACCTAATCCCGAGCAAATCAACAAGTTTGATTGGCTAGGGAGAGAGATCGGGCGAAAATGGAGCTTGGAGCAACAATGGAGCTTAGAGGTGGAAGAGGTCGTCAACTAGAGGTAGAAGACACCCCTTATATAGTCGTGGGAAAAATCCAACCGTTATCCACATGTTCAGCCCGCGACACACGGTACTACCGCTCCAGGGGCACGGTACTACCGCGAGGCTGCGCGGTAGTACCGTGGAGGACCACGGTACTACCGCGACAGCAGCACAGGCCGGAACTGGCCTGACTAGGGGGCAGTACTACCGCTTGCGCGGTACTACCGCTCCCCCTTGCGGTACTACCGCAAGGCAGGAGAGTCACGGCCTGGGAAGGGCGCGGATGAAATAAATTACATCCGTGCCTACTTCCGCTGAAACTGGGGTGGTACAAAAACCCAACGCGGTACTACCGCTCGCGAGGCGCGGTACTACCGTTGAGGGCGCGGATGTAAAAAAATTACATCCGTGCCTACTACCGTGACACTGCGGTACTAGGTAGGAGGGCCACGGTACTACGACTCGTAGGGAGCGGTACTATCGTGGGCCCCCGCGGTACTACCGCGCTGGACGAGCGGTACTACGTGAGGGGCACGGATGTAAAAAATTACATCCGCCCCTACTACCGCACCGGAGCGGCACAAGGCCTGGGTGCCGCGGTACTACCGCTCCAGAGGGGCGGTACTACCGTGACACACAGCGGTACTACCGCTTGTACTTGCGGTACTACCGCAAGTACAGCAGTAGTTGTCAGGTTTCCGCACAACCGAGATAACGAAGGGTAGCTCCAAAATGCAGGGAAAGGAGGGACAAGTGTACATGTTGATTCCACCCAAACCTTTCCGACGCGGACCCCCTCTTAATAGTACGGCTCTCCTACAATTCAAATCCACCAAAGAGAAACGTAGAACAACGCCGACTTCAATAGTCTCCGAGGGGCACCGAATCGTCTCGTGCCTAGTGATGAAGAATCTGAGAGACTCAAGACACACGATTAGTCCGCAAAAGCATTGTCATCAATCACCAAAACACCTAAGGGATAAATATGCCCTTACAATCCCCATGCAAATCTGACACCCAGCCCCGGATTCCCTCCCGGATCTCCCCCACCTCTACCCTGCCCGGGCCCCACTCCCCACCAGCTTCCGCGCCCCGCCAACCATCCCCTCCCACGTCGCTCGCTGCCTCCCGCACCGGTCGCACCGCACCAACTACGCCCGCTCCCTCGTCCCCCGCGCCCGGATCCTCCTCGGATCGCGAGTCCACCCACGTGCCTGCCTCTCCTGGTCCCGCCGCATCCCCCTCGGATCGCGCGTCCACCCACATGCATGCCTCGCCCGGTCCCGCCGCATCGACCTCAGATCACGCGCCCACCCACGCGCCTGCCTCGCCCGTTCCCATCGCATCGCCCGTTCCCGCCGCATCGCCCTCGGATCCTACACCCAGTCCAACTCATGTTGCCTCGCCCGGTCCCACCGCATCCTCCTCGGATCGATCGCCACCCAGTACATCCACGCCACCTATTTCACCCCATGCAGTCCCGGTACAGCCACCCAACAACTCACACAGCATGACCACACGCGCCAAAACTGGTTACTTAATGCCTAGACGGCTCTTCCTTGCCGCCGCCTCCTCCACCATCTCCCCCATTCCTCCCACGTATAAATCCCCCCTCAAGGATCCCCATTGGCGTCAAGCAATGTTAGATGAGTTTAATGCATTAATGAACAACTTCACTTGGTCTTTCGTGCCTAAGCCTGCAGGTGCGAATGTGGTTACGGGCAAGTGGATTTTTCGGCACAAGTTCAACACGGACGGGTCTTTGGCACGGTACAAGGCTCGGTGGGTCGTTCGTGGCTTCATCCAACAAGAGGGTGTGGACTATGATGAGACATTCAGTCCAGTGGTCAAGTCAGCAACTATTCAGGTGGTATTGAGCCTTGCCGCCTCTCATTCATGGCCCATTCATCAGCTTGACATCAAGAATGCTTTTCTCCATGGTGAGCTCAATGAAACTGTGTATTGCTTGCAACCGGCTGGTTTTGTGGACTCCTCCAAGTCGGACCATGTGTGTCTTCTACACAAGTCACTCTATGGTCTTAAACAAGCTCCTCGGACGTGGTTCTTGCGCTTTCAAGCCTTCCTCTTATCCCTTGGGTTTCGGGCATCCAAGAGTGACACCTCCCCCTTCATCCTACATCATGGTAACTCTCTTGTGTACCTACTAGTTTATGTGGATGACATCATCCTCACCGCGAGCTCTCCTCACACCCTCACCCACATCATCAACTCTCTCAAGCGAGAGTTTGCCATGACTGATCTTGGCACATTTGCATCATTTCCTAGGCATCAATGTCACCACCAACCAGTCCGGTCTCTTTCTATGCCAACAACAGTACACCATAGAGCTTCTTGAGTGCGCCAACATGCTACACTGTAAGCCCGTTTCAACCCCGGTTGACACAAGCTCTAAAATGTCCTCTCACGAAGGCCACCTGCTCTCTAATCCTACCCACTATCGTAGTATCACCGGCGCTCTCCAATACCCCACCCTGATGCGCCCGGACATTACATATGTTGTCCAGCAAGCTTGCTTATTCATGCATGCTCCCCGCGATATACATATGCAGCTTGTGAAGCGCATTCTACGATACTTACAGGGTACCTCACATTATGGCCTTTAGCTCTTTCGGTCTTCCTCCAAAGACCTCATCGCATACACTGATGCCGATTGGGCAGGGTGTCCGGACACGCGCAAGTCCACCTCCGATTTTTGTGTGTTCCTTGGAGCAAACCTCATCTCATGGTCATCCAAGCGGCAACACACCATCTCACGATCCAGTGCCGAGGCTGAATATGGTGGTGTTGCCAATTGTGTGGCTGAATCTTGTTGGCTCCGGCAACTTCTCCATGAGCTCAAGGTACTACCCACACGTGCCATTGTGGTGTATTGTGACAACATCAGTGCATCCTACCTTGCGAGCAATCCGGTTCAGCATCAACGGACCAAGAACATTGAGATTGACCTACACTTTGTTCGGGATCGAGTGGCTCTTGGCGAAGTACGAGTCTTACATGTGCCATCCAGCTCTCAGTATGCCGACGTCTTCACCAAGGGCCTGCCCTCGCCGGTCTTCACCGAGTTTCGATCCAGCCTGAACATTCTTCCAAATGGAGTTCCGGCTGAGGGGGGTGTTAAGTTGTATATTTTGTACACATTGTAACGTTGTATTGTCACGTTTGTACCGATCCTAGATTGTAGGATCTGAGCACTCCCGCATGGCCTGCGTGCCTAAACTCTCGGGACTCTCTTTCCCTCTCTATGTATACTCTCGCTTGTAACAGAATCAATCAAGGGAAAAACACAAGCCACTTTCCAACTATAAGTCTATAACCCTCCTTCAGAGCCAACCCCGTGGCTCCAAAGCACGGCAAGAACCATGTAGTACCACAGTACCACGGAACATGTCCAAGTGCATCGCAAAAGTCCAAATGAAGCTGCAGGGAGAGGTAGGGGACAGGGCGATGATAACCTGATAAGTTTGTTTAATCCCTCGATGGGCATTGTTTAACAGCGATATAGCCCCCCTTCCACCGTGGATCGGCACATTCCCAACGCCGCGTCGTAATATTCCGGCCCCCGAACGCCGGCGACCAATCGCAGGCCGTCACCGCGACTCCTCCACCGATAAAACTACCTACAAGAAGCCGACGCTGACCCGCGGCTTAAACCTAGGATCTGCGAAGCTGCGGCTCGACATTGATCGCAGATCTTTTCTCTTGGTCTTTCTGAGTAGCTGGTTTGTGGTGGGCATGGTGATGGAGGTGGAGGCCGACATGGAGCGCGTTCTCGGCGGCTTCAGCCTCCGGCTCAGCGACGGCGGCGACAGTGATGGGAGCGGCGGCGGCCGGGGAGGAGGAGGGCACGACGAGGCGGACGGCGGGGGCGCGGTGAAGGAGCGGATCGCGCGGGCGCTGCGGCTGTACAAGGAGTCGAGCAGCGGCGGCGACGGCGGCGAAGGCGGTGCTCTGGTGCAGGTCTGGGCGCCGGCGCGGGACGGGGAGCGCCGCCGCGTGCTGGCCACCCGCGGGCAGCCCTTCGTGCTGCCCTCGCGGTGCCGGCGGCTGCTCCAGTACAGGACGGTCTCGCTGGCGCACGTGTTCGCCGTCGGCGGCGGCGGCGGGCAGGGCGAGCGCGCGACGTGGGAGGAGCGCGGGCTGCCGGGGCGGGTGTTCGAGGCGCGGGCGCCCGAGTGGACGCCCAACGTGCAGTTCTACGGCACCGGCGAGTACGCGCGCATGAGCTACGCGCTCATCTACGACATCCAGGCCAGCCTCGCGCTCCCCATCCTCGACCCCGCCGAGCCGCGCCGCTGCCTCGCCGTCCTCGAGCTCGTCTTCACCGCCGCCCCCGCCGCCCGCTTCGCTGCCGAGGCCCACAACCTCTGCAAGGCCCTCCAGGTCACCCATCCGTCTATTCGTCCCTCCTCTAGCTTCCTCCTTGCATTCTCGCTCCACCGTACAAACTACTATTCCTTGTACAGCCGCCATGAAATGTTTAGCTAGGTAGCCGCCATGATTCCAAAAAGCTTCCAAGATTAACATTTTCTGGAAATCTATGCATGCAGGCCGTGTCGTTGAGAGGCTCCGAGATCTGCCACCCCGCGCCACCGACCGAGGTGCGTGCCGCGACTTGCGAACCATGGGTTCGTGCACATTTTCTCTACATCTTACTCTTCCGGATGAACTCAATATAGTCCTAATCACATGAAGTTTGGAAACAAATTTTGCTTTATTATATTGTACATCACAAATTCACAATCCATTCATGTTCATCTACTAGTCCGAACTTCTCTTAATGATGAACATCTGATGATGCAGATATGCAACTCAGAGGCGACTCAGGCGGCCATGTCCGAGGTGTCGGAGCTGCTGGCAGCCGTCCGCGAAGCCCACGAGCTGCCGCTGGCGCAGGCCTGGGTCAGGTGCAAGCAGTGCACCCGCACGGACGTCAACGACGACGGCCAGCATTTCTCCCTGACTACGGCCGGCGCTCCGTTCCACCTAGGCGCGCACTACGGCGGCTTCCGCGACGCCTGCGCCGAGCACCACCTGCGGCGCGGCCAGGGTCTCGTGGGCGAGGCGGCGGCGGTGAGCGGGCCGCGTTTCTGCGCCGACGTCGCCAGGCGGTCCAAGGACGCCTACCCGCTCGCGCACTACGCCCGCATGCACGGCCTGGCCGGGTGCCTCGCGGTGCCGCTGCGTCTACCACTGTCCGCCATGGACGTCGGCGACGACGGCCAGGTAGAGGAGGAGTGCGTGGTGCTGGAGTTCTTCCTCCCGCCGGACTGCAGGAGCGCGGCGGAGCAGAAGGCCATGGTGGACGCCGTCGCAGCTACGATCAGGAAGGAATGCTCCGGCAATCACCTGGAGGCGACGAGCGAGCTGCAAGATTTGTTCTTGGAGGCCGTTCCTGCCGATGCTGACACTGCCCATGAACTGAACGATCGTGGGGACTATGATACCAATGATTCAGACGAGGAGGACGGTGATCAAGCAGGAGGCGTCCATGGCGCAGACCAAAGCGGAGCCAAGGATCGTGTACCGCCACCGGAGACGAAGAAGAAGACCGGAAGGAAGGCCGGGAGACCTGTCAGTCTTAAGGAGCTGCAAGGATACTTCTCAGGGAGCCTGAAAGATGCTGCGAGGAGCCTCGGCGGTAAGAACATTTTCGACACCAAATTAACCAAGATGAACACCACAAACAATTTACTATGAACCGAGGTCATCGAAACATGTCGAAATTTGGCATTCGTAGATTGAAATGTTTTAGTGTATGAGGCAACTGAAACTCTTGTTCTACAGTGTGCCCGACGACGATGAAGCGCATCTGCAGGCAGCACGGCATATCGAGATGGCCATTCCGGAAGATCAGCAAGGTGAACCGTGCCCTCGGCAAGATCAGGGCCATCGAATCGGTGGATTGCTCATCGAAGCCGACTGCTGCTGCTTCTTCCACCTCTCACCGAGCTCCAGCCCCTCATCTGCCATGCTTGTCAAGTGCTCTAGGAGAAGATACCTCTTCCCAGGGCTCAAGCCAAGACCCCCCTCCTCTCAACAAAGCCACATTGCCCAAGTCTCTGTTGCGGCGCAGCAATGGCACGGCAGGGGAGCTGGTGACCATCAAGGCGAGCTACCGAGGGGACATCATCAGGTTCAGGGTGCCGTGCTCCGCCGGCGTAGCGGCGGTGAAGGGGGAGGTGGCCAAGAGGCTGGGCCTAGATGCTGGCACCTTCTACGTCAAGTACCTCGACGATGACCATGAGTGGGTGCTCCTGTCCTGCGATGCCGATTTCCAGGAGTGTCTTGATGTTGCCCCAGGACTGCCGGCATCCGCAACTATGGCTGGCGGAGCTGGAGCGGTGTCCCCGGTTGTCAGGCTAATGGTGCAGGAGGTAGCTGATAACCATAGGAGCTCTTGTGGTAGCTCAGACTAGCCTTACTTCTGCATGCCTTAACCATACAACTGTTACTGATGAGGAGGCTTTGTCCCTTCCTTGACGTGCGTCGGAGTCAGGTAGAGCTTTCAAAATTCTGCAGATTCACTTTGTAACTTTGTATACTCAGGGTACATTGTTTGAATAATGATAGAAGGGATGGGATTTTATAATTTGAAGAGTATTTTACATGCAGTAACAGTTTCAAACTAATTTGATCATCTCCTAACCCATGGATTCATGGAAGAAGGATCCTTTCCTAAGTGGCTTCAGTAGATCAGTTAAGAGGCGAAATTACAAAGACAGCATGCAGACCCAATCAAGCAAATGGGGCTTTGCATTTCATACAACACGAATTTCGCGGGTGAACACCCATGGTAGTAATCTGGTACAGTCCTAATACAGTTCTAAGAGCCAGCAAAAATCTGCTATTCCACAACGAGTTTATTGTTCTGTGTCAATCCCTCGCCGGTAATCGGGTATTCTGATGATAGTTTCCACTCCCCGTCCACCAAGAACTTGATTTCGTAGCTTTATTATGCACACAAACATATGAAGATGATTTATTTAATGGATCAGAGTGAGCGTAGCAGCATCGCAGAACTGATAAAACATACCTCCCAAGTCTAAGCCTCAGAGTCGCAGAGAATCTCGCATAATCCCCTGAATATTCCCTCGACATTGCCTCACCATGTGACCAGCCATCGAAGGATCCCATAATTTGCACGTTCTGGTATGAATTGTATACAGATGGTGAGTAAGAACGAAGCAAAATGAGAATGAGGACAAAAGCAGAGGCATAAGAATGTATTTTGCAAACTGAAAAGGACAAATATATGATTGCAAGATGTTATTAAATATGATCATTCAGTAAAAAACATTTGTTTACCTCAGCCATGCCAACCCAATGGACAGCGATTTCTCGAGGTCTCAAAGACTCGATATCCTTTATCTGTACCATAACCTTCTCATGAACAGCTGCAGGAAAGCAAACACTAGTATCATCAGTCAGCAGATTTCACATAAAGTCTAACTTACAGCATTGCACTCTTGTATGAAACAAGGTAATATTTTTACACAGCTCTAGATACTGTTATGCAACTAGGTGTCACAAAAAAGGATACTACAAGCATTTGTTCGCACTTGGCACTGCTAAGCACATTTAGCTATTGTTGGCATGCCAATTTTACTTCACCAAAGATGGATGAGAACACACTAAAGACTGATCTGCATATTTAGCTGCTGTAAGTCTGCAATAAGCATGAAGTTTCTCAAATATTTATTACGGCGAGGACAGAAATATATATCGATGACAAATTTAGTTCTGAGGGATCATGAATCGCTAGCACTCAGAATATTATATCACAGTTATAATAACCATAAATGCACTTGGATCTCACTGTCAACCTACCTACTTTGCGTATCAGAATCCATGTCACAACTCACAACATGATAATGAGAACTGCAGTTATAAATGACAAAGGATCGTCACCACTGCCTTCTTAGGGCTACTAGGTATTCCATGCCAGTCAACAATGATGCTAGCGGAATTGTGACTTTCAGCATGCTGGAGTTTATAGTTGACTTATTATGACAAACAAACAGATCAATACAACAAGGATCAATTTGTTTAAGTGAATTAGATATGTTTTTTTTTCACAGTGGGTAGCCCACAAACTTCAGGTCAATAGCTAGGGAGATCTTTAACAATCTGGAACAATTCCACCAGCCTAAGAAAACCAAATCTCAGTCCCATGACCTAAATAGAGTAGCACTATAATATGTACTCCCTCCGTCCAAAAAAGCTTGTCCCTCAAATGGATGTATCTAGCACTACTCAAATGGATGTATCTAGCACCAAGTTAGTGCTAGATACATCCATTTGAAGGACAAGTTTGGGACAAGCTTTTTCGGACGGAGGGAGTAGAAATTTAACAACAGGACAACAGAAAATAAATGTTGATTTCAAATGGATTGTACATGGATCACAATTAGTCAACTCAAGTACTGTCTGTTCAATCATATGGAGATATGGCATCAAGGATAGACATTCATCATTCGGCTTGAATTCAGTGGGCCACTTCAAGGCAAAGTTTGCTAAGTGAGCTGCCGTAGTATTGTCAAATGTCTTTGCAAAAAAGGTAACAATGACAAATGTAATGATGGAGAGCCTCAATCATCCTGACAGTAGCTCTTTCTGCTAAATTACCTTCTAATCTGGAGAGAAGATGAGACTGAATATATTTTCCATTTACCTTCCTTGACCCTGATGGAACATCAAAATTAGCAATCTCTTCAGCTAGGCCAACCAAAGCCTGTCGACATAAAGAAACAGATAAGACGCACAAAGTTCCAGTACAAACAGCAAAAGTGGTGGTTACTTACATGTGCAAAAGACAATATTGAACAAAACCAGTAAAGAAAACATAGTTATATACATCCGGTACCAAGGAAGATAAATCTAAGAGCTTACAATATTGTGCAAAGTGAAATCAGCATAATTATAAGGGGGGTTGATCAGCAACAAACCATTTAGCAAACAATCACCTTATAAACTGTGCAGTTTGCTTTTGAATGATCACAGAAAGGACCAAACATGTATTTTGTTGATAAACATGACGCAAAGGGGAGACGAAAACAATTGGAACACGTGACCACCGGACAACATCTTGAGGCAATCCAAATTAACTTTGCATAACAGTTAAACAATCTGAAAAATAAAATGCTAACCTGCAGTTCAAGCTCCAAAACAGCAAGTTCACTTCTGAACTTTACAATTGCATCATCCTTTATTTGCGACTGCAGAACATAAGATCTAGTCAGTAATTACCTGGCACTATTAAGAGAAATGGTATTATGCGACTTTTACATATGAAATCTGTCTACACAAAACCTCATTGGTCCGTGATAAGCTTAAGTTGGAAAACAGTTATGCCGCTGCTAACATGTAACATTTCAGAATTTTTATATTTATGATCACTAATAATTTTCTTGCTGAGTTATCAGACAGTGTCAAGTGAATTGACAATTGTAACATGCAAGTAGCAGAAAAGTTCTAGATGCGACCCTTCCCCGGTCAAAAAGATCACCATATCTGACCTACATTGTAATTCAGATAGACGGCTAATTTTGAATCTAAAGGAACAGGTCAGTGGTTTGGTGGTAGCCTCCTCGCATACCCAGGTTAGAGTCCTAGGACCAGCTTGGGTCAGAGCTCCTGGCATATATATTATGAAAATAAGAAATTATGAATGTATATGCAGTTCTTCAACAGAATAAAGAACTATTCCTCAGAAGGCCAGTCATACAACACCACACTTTACTACGAATCAAGTAAATTCGATGTATGGTTTATGATCTCAGTAATAGAACCTGTCTCTTGAGAAACCGGTTCTGCTGGTTTGCTTCACTTAGCTTTCTCAAAAGCTTACTTCGTTCTTTATCAGCCAAAAGAGATTTCAACTGCAAAATAACAAGAAAGAGAAGATTCATCAATCACCACTGCCTCTTTTAACAGATCCGAAAGCATCACGTGTGGCCAACATTACATAGCTTAAACACCCACATATGCAAGCATGTTTGCTTTTTCCCTTTTCAGAAGACTATTATGTGTATAAGCATTTCGAGAGGTACACGAACAATTCTAGCCCCATTTCATTTAGACAGAGTGTGTCAACTTGCAGTTCTTTTGTAAACACAGAAGTACAACTGATTTCACCTTTCATGAGTAAGTGGCATATGTGCTCAGAATGATGAACTTCACATGTGAAACGATATAATACCGAGTTTGACTAATACCTCAGCTGAGGTCAGCTGCTCACTAGTCTGCCCTGATGAAGACGATGTCGAACTCGATGGTGCAGGCCCATTTTCTGAATTCAAACTTGCTGCGAAAGAACTCCAGCGTGAATGCCTGCCAACAACTGGGCTGATGGGACACACCCCAGTGGCAAACTTGCAGCGTCTGCTAGAGTTTGGGCAAGCTGTAAAATAGCAGAGAACCCTTCCTGGAATCCATTGCTTCTCGCACGCGGGCCTACTCGGGCATACGAAGTTATACTCCCTACCCGCATTCCTTGTCAAGAAAATCAACATATCATGTCAAATTAACTCGAAAGAGACAATGAAAACCGTCACATGTTGTCGAATTTCCCTTTTGAATTAGTATCTGAACAAAAGGCGAGTGCAAAACCAGCAGCAGAGCCTACCTCGCGGTGAAACTCGCAGTCAAGCATTCCATAGCAATCCCTGAAGAAAAATAAAATAGGAGACATCCTGTTACCAAACAAATTCAGCATAGCTTCCAATCAAACACTGAACAGAAGAATAAAGTCTCCGACGGCCGGTAACTTCATCTACGCACGCAGAACACATTCGATAACCGCAGCGTCAGACTCCTACACTGACGAAACTGCAAGGAGCCAACGCCCCTTGCCCTACTGACGGAAAAACCTCACTGTTCGTTCTGAACCCACATACTGTGGGCTGGCTAGGCAGTCCATTTCAGGGGAAACCCAGAACCTCTAGAGCTGCGCCCCCCACGGATCAACTCCTATCCACCAAACAAGCGCGGAAACGCACGCGGAAATCGGAACAGGCGCAGCCACCGCGCCCAATCACGACAGGAGCTCAGCACCAATTTGGCCCGCCTTGGGGGAAATTAAGCGGAAGACCTAGAAACGAACCTCGCGGAGAATGCCGGGAGCCTGGGACCGGAGCCCCGGAGATCGAACGGCGGCGGCGGCGGCGGAGAAGGAATCGGAGTGGAGTGGTGAGGCGAGGGCGAGGAGCTCGTAGTTCTGTTTGTGTGTGCGTGCGCTTCGCGACTCGCGAGGTTGCAGCCACGGATTTATTCATCTTTTGCGCTTTATTTTTGTTCCCGAATGATAAGTGCGAGAAGGCCCCTCTTGAGATATCTTATTCAATATGAGGTCCCAACCGACCAGGTCGATTTCTCGATTTTCAGGCCATCGTGTTGAAAAATGAAAAACGATGTGCTGCAGTTTTAAATCCTTTCGAACTTGGCTCGGCGGAAGCGAGTCAGCAAGATGGAGAAATAGGACTATCTGATTTGATTCGTCTTTATTTTCCCTAGCCATGAAATGATCATCTTTTGGGGGATCAAATTGTCGACAGTTTCTCCTATTACGCTTGTATAATACACTCCTTTTTCAAATTATCTAAAATTCTAGTTTTCGTTCTGAACTACTCTACGTTTGATCAAGTCTACTGAATATTTTTTTTGTAGATATATACAGCGTTTGATATCTCGCGAAAGTAATTTACTGTCATGGATATTCTATAGACGTAGTAGAACTTGAAACCTACAACTTCCAATAGCGTTTGTGTTTTATTTTGTTTTGAATGCTGTGAGCAAGAAGGGCCTTTTGAGACGTATTATTCTCGATGAGCCCCCGAGCCTGCACTGCACTCAAAGGCGATAGGAGGTGAATTGTAAGACTAAAAGCAACGACTCGCCTTTTGAAGAGTACGACAAAGCAAAGCTTGAACAAGTGGCATCCTTTTCAGGCCATCGTATTGAAAACGGTGTGCTACAGCTACCACTTGATAGTATTTCAGGATTTGCTGCAGCAGCCGAGCTCACAGCAAGGCAAATCAGTGGAAGACAATTGCCACTAAACTTGAACTAGAATCTTCAATATGACATTCAGTCAAATCACGCAGAAGCACCTCCATTTCTGAAAGTACAACCAAACTGAAATCGGATATCTTTGCACCCATGTAAACCCGCACCACACAACCAAAATAAGGCGAATGATCTGTCTCCTCCCCGCTTGGAACGCGGGAGAACACGGCAATGCATAGGTTCATCAAACAAGCTCAGCTCGCGGCACAGGGTTGTCGAATTCCGGAGTCTAAACGGCTACGCCAAAAGATCTGTACAACTTGCAACCAGGCATCACGATGAGGCAGACTCCAACAAACAGACCAGCTATCCCACCCGGGATTTAAAACCCCAAACACATAGTACTTGTTGCTTTTGGCACTACGAATCGAACACTCCGAGGTGAATTCTTTGCAGAATCGAGAAACTGTGCTCCGCTACATCGGGTCTTGATGACGGTGGGGAAGGTTGGCTTGGACCAGATGTTGCTGGAGAGTTCTCGTGCCGCCTATGTGGACGAAGGGCCATGGTGCTCCGGCTTTTCTGATACTTCAGCGGAGTGACCGTTATCATCAGCTTCGCACTGAAATGGAGAGTTCAGCAAGGAAGATCATTAGCAATGAGAAATGGTTTCAACTAATGATGGTTACAGATGGCAATGGCTGTTTTCTGCTATAGAAAAAAGAACATGATGTTGATTCAGCTACAAGGTTTGCACATAAGACCAGGTAAAGAATCTAATGCATCAAGACACCATAACATTGTCATCAGCTTCGCACCAAAGGGAGTTCAGCATGGAAGATCATTAGCAATGAGAAATGGTTTCAGCTAATGCTGTCTACAGATGGCAATGGCTGTGCTTTGGCTAGAGAAAAATAAGATATGGTGTTTGATTCGGCTACCAGGTTTGCACAGAAAACTAGGTACAGAATCTAATGCATCAGGACACCATAAAAATAATCAGTGTACTGGATACGAGAATTTCACGTACCAGATCGGAAAGCATATCAATGGTGAGTTCTGCGTCGAATTCATTGGCCTTCAGTGCTTCAAGAATGAAGTCAGCAGACACATCTGGGAACATCAGCGAGAGAGATTCCACCACGGCGAGATGATTACCCGCATGACTTGCTTCAGCAGCTTCTCCTTTTGATGATGACTCAGTAGAGATGTTGATCTTTCCTAGGCTTTCAGCATAGTCATCAAAAGAAAGGGACTCTGGGAGTAGATACCCAGCAGACTTGTCAGCAGTCTCATTCTTTTCAGTCTCATCTACTTGCTTCTCAGGGTCCTTCTTTCCTTTCAAGCTTTCCGCAAACGGAGACTTGGAGGTAGGCACGAAAGGAGTGGCATGCGGATTCAACTGAAAAGACCGCTCCATTGCTCGAGATTCAGCAGACCTATCAAAACAATCAAGGAAACATAAGTATTGTGCAAACAGCCATGAACTCATGACTCATCAATCATCATATTACTTCACGCTGATATAAAAACACTTCGATGAGTGCAAAAGGGAATGCATTATTCAAAGAAAATCAGATGAAATCCATCTCCACATTATTCATCAGCGTAAACTGCTGATTCTTCATGTGAGTTATAATCAAGGTTTACGAGTCGACGAGTCGTTCCGAGGTCGAGACTCATAGACTAATCATGATTAATCGACACTAGTCCTTTTTTTTGCGACTCAGAGACTAGTCAACACTGAAGTGTAGTCGGCCTTGGAGTTGAGACTCATAGACTAGTCTTGACTAGTCCTTGGACTCATAATCCATGATTATAATCCTCAGAATTGATAATATCAACATATAGTAGCTTGCCACAATACAGTACAGAATACACTACGCATGGAAAATGTATCACATCTTAGGTAGAATATACATCAATCAAAGATGATCAGACACTTTGAGGAGTGCAAAATGGTATGCATTATTCAGAGAAAAATATATGAAATCCATCTCCACATTATTCCATCAGCATAAGCTGTCGATTCTTCGTCCGAGTGACGACCCTCAGAATTCAAAATATCATAATAGTTTGCCAGGATACACTACACAGTACATTGGGTGCGAAAAATGTATCACATCATAGGTAGGGTATGCATCAATCAAAGGTGCACACACACTGCTAGATCAGAACCTACTTACGGGACAGCAAACTTAGGGGTTTCATGCCATTGGTGCGCAATTCTATCTATGGACTGAGCAACAAGAACCTAGCTAACAGCAACTGGACGTTAAGTCTTTTTTAAGGAAAAAAATAAAGCAAGTGGATGCAACTTGCACTTGACAAAAATGATTCCACATATTAGTTCGGCATAACAGAGTAATTGACATCCCTTGGATACACAAAAGAAATGATCAACAGTTACAGGATAACTAGCTAATAAAAGCAGGGCAGGAATAGCATGACAGAAAATTATACAGCTGAAACCCCAAACAAACAAGATTTCATAGCCTACTGTCTACAAGCTCCAATGCTGGCACCTGAACTATAACCAGGAAGCTACAACCATATCATACCACATTCTCAAGGAACAAGAGCAACCATTAATCTCACAGCAAGACTGACAATCACAAGGATGAAGCTACTCATAGGCCCGTACATATTGAACGAAAATAGAACGCGACGGGGAATCGAATCTACTTGGTGATGCCATTCAACCGACCGCGCTCTTCATTTCAGCAAGACTGGGTCGCCGGGAAGTACGCCCAAATGTTAACGACTAAGCTATTGACTACTGTGACCAGAATAGGCTACCATGAAGCATAAGTTCCCCGATAACCAATCTCAAGTTCCCGATCCCCCCGCTTCCCCGGAAAAAACCTAGCACAAGCGAGCGATTCCATGATCCCTGGGTCTCGAACCGAATCCGCGACCACGAACCCCGCCGAAGCATCGCAAACACCTCGGCAACAGCAGGGAAAAAGTCGAGCGCGACATCCAGGATCATCAAGCAACCTAGGCTACCGCCGCCGCGCGCGGCGAGATTGGCTGACCACGCCGGGATCGCGAATCGAACAGGCTACGACACAGCGAGAGGGGCCACCGGGGCGAGAGAGGGCGGCCGTACCTCGACGCCGACGGGGGGAGCGGGGCGCGGGGGAATGCGCGAAACCCTAGGTCGGTCGCGCGTCGGTCTTCGTTCGTCGTCGTCGGCGTCGCGCTCGCTTCCGTCGGGCTGG